GCTCATTGTCAGCTCAGCTCGCCGAAATGCCAGTTGCGGCCAGATTGCGTGGTTGAAGATATATTCTTCGCGCGGCCGTCACGCGACGGCGCCAATCACTCGCGAGAAATTGCGCGATTTGTACGATACGGCGAACGAATCGTCGTAACGCGGCGAATCGATTGTAATGAGCGTCGTAAATTGATCCGCGCCCCACCGCTTTCCCTCCTTATGCCAATTCGGGGAGTGAGAAATGCGGGGGTGCGGTTTACCCTCGTGGCAATAAACTGCGTTCTGCGCACCGGCGATACACGCGAAACTAGAAAAATTCCATACGTATCCTTGTTACATCGCTTGTCAAAGAAAACGACATGCTTTGACTGCGACGAGAGATTGACAAATTTGCGTAGCTGCTGATTTGACTGATCGCGTTATCGTTAATGCAATCTGAATTTCTTATTCCGCGAGCGTATCTGACACGCCATAATACATGACGTGAAATTAAACGCGTCGGCGATATCGCAGTCGGGTTTAATGCACAAAACTGCATAACACCGCTGGAGCTCTTTCGATAATAGCGTTCAGTGCGTTCGCAAAACGGAACGCTGGCCAATAAATAATAAGGGGGTACAAGAGATCGGTCGTGCGCGCGTGACCGTCGATAAAATAATAATTACCGTCGACAATGCGCCCGAACAAATTGCCCGTTAATTTTTGCCGATAAACATTCGTAAGCCCCGTAGAGGCGAAAACCGTATGCACGCGACGCGTAAATAATAGCCAAAATGCGATCACCAAAATCGCTCCCCCAAACCCGCGCGGAAGGGCGCGGTTTGCGCTCGCCGGTGCGTGTCGCGTGTGTATGCGAGCGGGCGAGCGTGGAGGAAGGGGCGGTTAGCCTCCGCATAAATATCAACGCATAATAATTTTGGATGGTTATTAGCGATAATAAAATCCCAATTTATCGAACGGCAACCCGCCCCCCCCCGCCGCTCGCACGGCCCTCGCGATTTATAATCTGCCCACCCAGTGCTTCGTCACGATCGCGCGCTGCACCGAAACAATGCGCCGATGTTTATCGGCAATGGGAAGAATTTATTCTCGCCGCGATCAGGAGCGCGGCGCCGTTTTTTCTCACGTTGTCTTAATTTAGACGAGTTTCCGAGATCTTTCCATCCCCTAAATTTCTAATTCATCTCTAATATTTATTATAAAAGTATAATAGAACTTATGAAAAAAATCTTAGCTGAGATGTGCTTTATTTTCGGGATTATCAACGAGTACATTTTCTTGACGTCGACATAATTAAAAAAATCCTTCATGACCGAACAAGATTCTCTCGCGAACAGCGATGTTCGCGAATCTGCTGCTGGCAGATCATAGTCAAACTAATTGTAAGGCGCGTCGCCCTTCACCCCTTCTGACGCATTTGGTTTCTGAGTTACGCAAAGTCTGCCGTAGACACCCTGTATCTACTGGCACACAACAGGGAATTAGGCAACGCGTTATAATATCACTCGTCACATCCGACAGCATCTCACCGAACTGCGTACAGTTTCCGTGAGATACAGTGAGAGAGATTATGCGACGTACACCTAAAACTCCCGCGAGGATCAAACGAGTCATCTGCAACTCATTGATTTTGAAACTATATAGCTATTACAAATTTCTTTCACTCATAATTATTCTTATTAATCAAAATTCGATTAGCAACGAAACCAGATAATAAATTTATGCTAATAAGTGCATCGCTTGTAAGTATTCGAGTATAGAGTCACAAAACCATATCGCGACGACCTAACGCACACATCTCTATAATCGATATCGTTCCATCGAGACGAGAGAAACTTTCGACGAACGAGCTTTCAACATTGTCCTTTCTTTCTTTCTCCCTCTCTCGCAAATAGCTTTCAGCGAACGTAAGCTTCGTATATTCTAGCACTCGTCCAGTGCATCAATTTCAACTTTCCCCGCCATCTCGAGCCACGGCATCCCTCCCGCATTCTTAGTCGACGCATTTTCTTCCACTTAACTTTTCCGGGCGATAAGGGCGCGGCCCATCGTCCGCGTTGTCGACGACAGGGGGTTTGGCGAGCCGCCCGCCGGGACGCATGCAAAGTAAACTTGTTCTTTAGTTCGTTAGGTCGGGCCGAGAACGGCGGAGAGAGACAGGGGTTGCTTTCCGCCTTACTTACGGGACTCGAAGGTGAAAAGATAACCTACGAGCATTATTCACCGTGGAGGAGACGAAGTGGCGCAGGCTACGACCGGATGCTGCCTGAAAGCCGAGAAACGAGGGAACGAGATCGTTCGCGTACCATCTTACGTGTTCTCGTAGTTTTATCGCGAGCACTTGGCGTTCCTCGTGCCTTTTTACGCCGTTTTGATACTACTTTTCGAAGTTTCAAAATTTATTCACGCGACGTGCGAAGAAAGAAGGAAATTTTAGCGTTGACTTTTTTATCCTGTGCCGACGATTTTGTAGTTTTTTTCTTTCTTTAATGATTACATCAACAGTCTTAAAAATGTTTGTCGAGAATTTCTCACAGTTTGCAACGTCTTACATGGAACAACTCTTGATTCCTGCATTTTTGCCCGGCATCCGTCGTCGTTACGATCTCGTTAAGGAGCGAGTTTTGCACAGCTCATCGCGAGGGCAAAAGAGGATGCCCAAGGGCCAGTCTCTCGATGGCCTTCCCTTACGAGGGTGGAGGATGGATTCGAACTCCCAAGGGTGAAATGGCTCATTCCGACGCACTTATCCAACGCGGGCCGTAGATAACCATAGATTAATGGGGCCTGGAGACTCGCTGAACGATAGAAAGAGAAGAAGAGAAAGAGAAAGATATACGTATATAAGCGAACGAGAGGAAATAAGAGAATGAGCGATGGAGCGAGAGAGGGTTTATTTCGGAGAAACGACGACGGAGTCAAGAATGAAAGAGAAGGTAGATCTATAAGAGGGGGCGTTATACCTAGGCGACCCCGTTGATTTATTGTTTATTGAGAAATATGGCCGTTACCTCGCTCCCGTGGATTAACCTTCTTCTTGCTTTCGTTCTTAATGTTCGATGAACTCGGACATCGGGCCGTAAAGAAAGCCGATCGGTTCAAAACTTTAGATTATCTTCCTACTTGGACCAGCAAAATTTACGACGTTTACAAGATGTAGCTCATTTACACATCGTAAAAATTATTCTAAAAGCTTTAGAAAATTGTTTTATCAAAAGTACGCGCGAGAATGACGAGACTTTAGAGAGAAACTCGCGGCTTCCGGCCGAATCGATGGTCTTTACTTAATGCAAAGCCAACCCACGGAAAGGATTAGGTTGACTAAGCTTGATAGCAAGCCTGTCTTTCGACCTCTTGCTTGCTTACTCTATCGTTACTTGTTCTCTCTACCATCGTCCCTCTCTGAGATAGACCCGCGGTGCTCAAGTTATCAAGTGCGTCCGGCCAAGAGGAGACATCGCCGGAAGTCAAACAAGCTGCCCTATAGAAGATAAGGCTGTCAGCCAGAGGTAGAGACTAAAGGATAAGGAAGCTATCAGCTTGTTTAGGCTGAAATTCTGAACGGGGTAAAACTTCGCCGACAAGTTGCGCAACGTCATAATCCGTCACAACGTTTGCTTCCAAATAAATCGAGCAACATTAACGATACGTCAATATCTTCATCTAAGACGGTTTCTCTCGCTCTCGCAAGACGCGAATACTAACGGAATTCGAAGTTTTCAGCGGGCTTCTACAAGCTAACTCTCCCGACAAGATTGAATAATTAGACTGCGGTCCGTGCAACTTTGAATTATGCGTGTTCACGGTATTGCGCTGGAAGACTGAGGACCCTTGGGGGACCAATTTGTTGATTAAGCCTGCCACAGATTCAGCTTCCTGTCTTCTAAAGATCCTAGGAAAACGTTTTCTAGACAACGTCTTGATATCAATTTATGTCAATATATTAAATATTTACTTAGCTGTTGAACGTACGCAGAGTATAATCAAACGTAAGGACGGTAATTTAAAATCGAACAGAAAATTTAATTCTCGAAAACATGTCATTGGAAATTTCAAACGTATATATATGTTTGTTAAAATTTTATCAGTAAATTTTATAAAGATCGAATAATGGAAAATATCGAAGGAAAATCGGTCTGCTATTATTGAAATTAAAAAAAATTTGGGAGTAAGCAAGATTGAGACGGTCGGATATTTCTCGCGGGATTACGCAACTTGTTCTGATATTTTCCAGTCGAATTATAGGGACGTCAACACCACCAACGGTATCCCTGTCATCCACAGCGCTCGGCTATGGATCGAGGGCAGCGAGCCTCGCTTTTGAGCGTAAAATTGAATCAACGCTTTTTAAATGTCCCGTACACTTCGCTGTATACATTTCGCTCAGTATTCCCTTGCGTTTGATGCGGAACGAAGATCGTTGACAACACCATACCAAATTGTTGCAAAATTCATAGCTCGCTCGGCCATCATCCGATCGTCGGACGTTAAACATAATTAAACGAAGCGAGAGCACTTGTGGCAGTAATTGACAGAATTAATCATTAACGAGCGCCATCGACACCGCGATATTTCAAGAAATGTCACGATCTCGAAGTTTCTTTATCCAAGTATTCCCTACATCTTGAAAATAATGACGTCTCAGGTCGAGATTTAATTTGACAATATTCGAGAAAGGAGTATTATTAGCACTATCAATCAATACCGAGAAATAGACCTTACGTCAAGTTCTCTCTCTCGAGTGCACCTCGACGATAATCCGGGCGAATCCGCCTGGAGTGAACTCACGGGGCCCGGCCGGCAAACTTGCCCGAACGAAACCTTGACAATGCCCGCCGGTCACGACTACACGGACGCGCGCGATATGGTAACTCTGCCCTCCGATCCGACTACACGCACCAGGGCCTCGCCCTGCCTAAAGTTCGCGCGGTCGGCTACGTTACATGAGGAGCTGTGTAACGCTAAGAGAACTTAAGTACTACCCGTAAGTCATATTTAATCCGACTCACCCGGCTCGACGTACTCGTACTGCTATCCCCGGACTTTGGCTTCCTCCAACGTCGACCCGTTGTATATCTGCCACATGCACCTGTAAGAATATATAAGACGGTGATAGTTCTGATCGAATCGAGAAAATGATGAAGACGAACTTAAAGTGGAATAAAAGATTCACAGACAGCCATAAATACTTGTTAAATTTATAATAATATTGATTTTTTATATATATAAAATATCCCACAACTGTCATAGATTTTCTTATGACCAAAGATTTCTATTAAAGATGTGTAATAAATAAAGTTGTCGCTCTATTACGCATTCTATCTCATTAGTTAGGAAAGATTTTCATCACAAGAAACTAATGTCTCATTATCGATATTCAACAACGATATTCAAAGAAAAACTAATTCACCCGAAACTCCACTTCACTCTTGTTCGATTCCGCATACTGATACGTGTGCCCACGCAAGTATATCCGACAAAACGTCGCCGTGGCTGCTCGTTACATCAGATCTCGATCTCGCTTCGAACTGCGACGTCAATTTGAAGAAGACGAGAGCCCACCGGGGGTTTCGCGCGACTCGTGACGTCGCCGCCGATCCTGGCGAACCGATAAGTACTCGCTCCGGGCGACCGTAGATTTATTGCCGGGCTTGCCGGTCTTCTTCTCGCTATGAGCCACCTTTTAGACAGCCCTTAACCGCCCGACCGTCAACCTCGTCCCTCCTGACTTTTACCGTCGTCCTCGTCTTGTTATGCCGCGCAGAGCGATTCGCGGAGTGCCTCCCCGACCGAGACTCGACTTCCGTTTTATTGGCGGAAATAATCTTTGATGTGATTCCGCCGCGTCTTAAAAGTTTTTCTGCCGTTATGGGAGCGACGGTAATCGATTCTCGAGCGAAGAAGAAGAAGACGTTTTTCGACGTACGCGAGATAGACCTGGCCGATCGTCATAATGCTTAACCGCACGATGTTCTTATCGGCGTTCCATCGTATCAATGCGCACTGCTGCGAGCTCGATGGCGCCATAAATGAGAACAGTCGTTTGAACAAAGTACAGCATAGGATTCGCGTCACCTTTAAAAGCGATGTAATTTAAATCCAGAACATAAACTAGCATCGACAAACGCGACGTAGTTTCGAAACTACAATCATTTCTACGAGCGCTGAGATATCCAATAAATCGTAAAGACTTTCGTGATTAAAATAATTTTTCTCAAAAATTATGCAAAAGAATTAATTCCACATAATTTTTAAAGCAAAACTTTATTCGCGATTTACTAAATACTTTGTATTCTTTGTAATTATCACAAATAGAAAAATGAGCATTCTAGAATCGAGTAACGTAATATCACGTGTATACTTTTCTTTTTTATTCTATCTTAATATCCGAGACTTGCGACAATCATTATCCATTATTATTAGCCCTGGTGCGTTTTTTAATCAACCAATGTTACGGGACGCTATTCTCAACCGTGCGAAATACAGAGCGCCACGATTCAGCAACTCTCTCCTCGACTCAACCCTTTCGCCGTAAGTAACAAAGGAACAACGCCGAATCCCGCGGCGGTATCTGCGACCCATCGCTGTCTTAATTTCCTTCGTAATCTACGATATTAATATGGCTTAGGGTCGGCCGACGCGCGTAATTTCGCGCCGCGCAGAAATTAATAGAAAGACGAATGTTCCCTCCGCGTGCTTCACGGTTGAACACTCGGCCGGAATGGTTAATGGCGACGATTTCTGCGCGTTTCCGCGCTCGCTTTGCCAAAGTGTGCCCTGCGACCAGCGCAGAAGTAAACGGCATATCTTCTAGACAAAGTGTTTCAACTTACAACTAGATGCGATACCGCGTTGTATTATACCATGCAGTGTTGGACAGTAATTGATTACAATATACTTATTATCAAAATAATGATCACATAGGTATAATCATCAGTGAGACCAATCATTAATCATACTATCCATGAGGGTCTGTAATCCATGGGGGACGTAAATATTATCAGCACTTTTATGAGAATATTATCAGCATATTTCTCCCTCTCTCTCAGTTTGAAAATCGAAAATATAATCTTTGTTTTACAAATTAATACAATACAGAATTGGTTAAATATGTAATCAAATTAATGGATATCGAATATGTTTACTAAGCAATCAAGTGATTAGTAATTGTAGTTATTAAATAATCAGTAATATATCATGGTTAATAAATAATGAAAATAATCACGGCTAAATTAATACTCGGTCTTGTGATTAAATTATTAATCGTTAAATAGAAAATTAATTATATCTTATGATCAATTCGAAAAATTAAAAATGTTGGAATAAATCAAACATTTATATAACTCATACGTAAGGGAGGGGGTAGACCGAACGCATATCTCGACAGACGAGCGATAGCGCTTTCTTAGATCGATTACATAATCAAAGCGACAATACAGTCACATGGCTGTTGTTAAATTTATCACATGTGCGTTTATTAATTAATTTCCCTGTTCGAATTTTTTTTCAAAATTTCAGTTTAATTTCAACGATCAATGATCTAAACAAATACATATAATTACAGCATTTTCTCCGAGCTTTCATTCTAAATATACCTATCGTGCGTTACACCGTGCAACGTTGAGGCCGCGATTCAGCGGAATTTCGCCTTGTTGAAAATGACACGCGCAAGGTATTCTCCCCGGCGCATCTTGTTTAAACGTCGCCTCGCACGCGATAGCGACGCGGAAGTCCTCGGCATCCGTCCATCGTTCGTGCATATGCGATCGCGGATCGCACGTCGGACAATGAGACGTGATTCGAGACGGCGCGCCCTGCCGCTTTGTGTTATCGAGTGGCATTCCGACACGCTTCTGGAGTGACATTTAGATAGCGACGTCAACTGTCTGCGGAGCAAATCCGTCGTGGAAGCGAAGGCTCTCCTGCTCCTCGTACTTCCCCGGAAACCTGACGGCGAGAGCCCTCGCCACCGGAGCGAGCGAATTCACTGCTGATCGAATTAGCGCGCCACGGTTCCCCGATACCCTGACAGTCTGAATTAATTAACAGGAGAACGCGCTAGGTAAGCAGCCATTATCGCAACGAAGTGCGCGCCGTGCGCCAGGCGAGAGGTAACTGTTCAATGGTGCAATCATAAACGTCAACTGATAGACGACATGAATTTTTTATCGTTCTAATGTACCGAGGAAACAATTCGATTATATAGTCGATTTTAATTGTATTGTAATAAATCTATGGCAGTGTAAAAGTTTTATCATTTTAACAATATATAAGATATAAAAAATGAAAACGCGATATTTTATTTATAAAAAAGAGATTAATAAGTTTAAATACTAGAGAACCTTGCAGCTTTTCATCCTCTCGTCAGTCAAGAGTTTCAGCAGCGAGATGAATAAAGAATATCCTCGATTCTGCCGTATTAGATAGCGATAGTCGCGCGCGGCGAGAATTTTGCGTCTCGGCGCGACGTCTTGACTCCATTAACTTCACACTTAGCGGCACCTTAGAAAGCCCGTTGCCGTCGGGAGATCTGATTAGGGGTTCGAGTCTCTGCTAAACGCGTTAGTCTCGGCTGCGGGGCGTCGCGCGAGAGCACGGAGGCGCGGCACCATCAGGTGTTAGAGAGTGGCGACCCCGGGAATAGGCATGGGGGACAAGAGGGCGCGGGCGGTCGTTGGTGTCTGTCTCTTCATAGTTTGATGCAAATTGAGTACGAGCACCACCAACTACCGGCAGTATAGACATTTTCCTGGCTTTCTCCCCCTCCTGTCTATCTATATACAGACACATACCTATACACACCTATCTACCTCGATCTAGACTCCTTTCCCCCCCTCTCTCTCTCTCTCTCTCCTTTGTTCTTGGAGAAGACTTCGCGATCGGGTACGAAATTCATTCCGCGCGACCCTCTTCGGCTTCAAGCAAACTTCCACCTCTCCCTCCGATCTTGACTACCACCAAAGTGTTGCCGTTTGGGGTTTCCCGTCCCACATTGCGGAGTTCGCGCTGTTTGCCGACGAATCTCGGAGGCTTTCTCTCGACTTAGCAGCGACAAGAGAAACGCGTCGCGTTTCGATCGTTTAACAGTTTGGTCGATGAGTCTCTTTCGTCAGTTTGTTCTCTAAAATATACTATGATTCTATTAATTGTAAGATCAAAATTTTTTAACATATATATACGTAGTGTATATATGTATATATACACTATATATTTATGTGTATATAATAGAGCCCTATCGTATTTCATTCTATAAATTCAAACATGTAAACTATTCCTGCTCGTACTAATTCAATGAAATCTATAATAACCACTATCAAATATTGCATTCGCTTGCGCCATTAAATATAATGGATTGATGATGTTATTTATACCTATATATTGCCGTTTAAATATAATAATTACTGTAAACTACAGAACGTATCTGTTTCTTCTAATCCACACACACACATGGATTTAAATAAAATCACTCGGAGATATATGTTTGAGCTTCGGCTTGCATGGCAAGGGTATGAAAATGACACGAAGCTCTGAAAACGACCGGCGATACTAATGTTTCGAACGTTTAGCGTTGCAGATTACAGAAACAGCGTTTATCGGGGAAAAATAGCGCGTATCTGGACGCGAAATCACGACGCTATTATAAAGGATCGTTCTTTCCTGTCGCTCCGTCGAAACTCATCCTCCCTCTCCTCTCGCACCTACGTCCCGTAATGTTCCTTTTTATGGTGCATGATTCGAAGCTGCCCCCGGGATCGATTTTGTTCCGTAGCGCGGTACTTATCGTACTCCGTTACGAGGACGCATTGCTTTTTATGGTGGTTACATGTTCCGATCGCACACGGTATGTCCTCTCTCTCTCGTCCTTTCTTCGTTTCTCTCTGGTTCTTTTTATTCTCGTCAAACGAGATGTCTGTACCGTGTAAAAAAAGCATTGCCTAAACATATTATCTTATAGACAGATTATCCGCTGTGGATTATCCGTAGAGGAAATCGAAACACGGCGATTCTAAGTTAAAGCTTCATATTTTAAGGATTAGGACAATAAGCTTCTTTCACGAGACATAGGACCATTCAGTATAATTAATTCAACCACTTAATTGAATAGCGCAATCGATAGCAGATGCTAAACCTGTACGTCATACAAAATCGTTAATGTACCTCGAGTTCCCGACGGTGTCCTGATTTCGCTGAACAGAGAGAAGCGTATTTATATATTACAATTAACCCACACTCGGCTATCGATCGAGACATCGCGGATAGACGTGATGATAATCGTACAGATATTTTAAGTTCAATTATACCGTCGCCAATCAGGCCGAATATAGAATCGTCGCTCGCTATTTCGGAACGGGTCTCCAACGTGGACTCTAATGCATCCGTAATTTCTTCGTATTTATATTTCTGAATCAACGACAGGATAGCGAAAATCTTTAACGGTGAATAAAATCGAAACGATATAACCAATACGATTTACATGATCAACCTCGTTTTGAAGCCCGGTAAACCTGTATTTATAGCAGAATCTATATCAAGAATCTCAACCAATTTAGATTTGTTCTCGTTTACATTAAGCATAGTCACTTTTAGAAAAAAAAAACACTCGCTGATGTTTCTAAATCAGGACTGTTGCAACTAAATGAGTTTTAGGAGAAAAAAAACTACAGTTTTACACAATCGTTGTGTATTTTAAATAAGTGAATCTACATACATATTTCGCGCGCATCGATTTCGTGGACGTACAAATTGCTCAGTGGCGCGGCGTGCACGAATCGCTAAGTCCGCCGAGAAAAAAATGCAGATTCTGCCGGATACGGCCGACGTACATACGTCGTAGAATCCTATTGCGATTTCATGATACTCTCGGAAGGAGACGACGTCGCGGCCGACCGGCTCGTTTCGAATGCTACAAATGTGCCGCGCGCGCTCGTTCAGGTGGCTCGAGTAGGTGCTGAAAAAAATCACGTCTGCATTTACATAAGCGCCGGTATAAACCACTCGGCAGAGAAATCCCGACATAAAACCCAAACAGGATCCTGCGCGCGGGACAGCACATCCGTTGAATACGCAATGGCCATATGTAGCCGATGTACCCGTCTGCCACCCCCTTACCGAAAAATGCTTTTATTATTCACCGGTGAATTACGAACGCGACGGTATACGCGTTTTACCCCGGCATTTGCACTGACGTGGAGTTTACACGGCTCATCGGCGACGTCTTCGACAGTAAGTCGCTCGTTCCGTCGATAAGTCGCCGGTATCGAGACGCATTCTTTTCTTCTGTGGTTTCTGTCGGTTTTATTTTGAAGGGTGGCTTTCGCTGCTTGTTTTTATTTTCTAGCAATGCAAGGACGATGATTTATCGAAAATTGTCTCAACAAATATTATAAAATTCAGGATATATTTTTTAATTATTTTATTGGATTATTAAGAGTAAAAAAATGACATAAAATTAAAGATAATGTAACGGTGCCCGAAGCGATTTTATAAGAAATAAAGGAACGAGGGTCGATTCTCGCCGAATGGTATCTCTCTACATTAATGATATCCGAGGGACTCGACGTGTCCCAAAGACGACTCGAAGTTCCGCGAGCTCTTCCGTAAGACAAATCGCGCGAACACGCCCGTCATATCGCGATCGATATACGCGGTATGTATAACGTCCGGAGAGTGATGTTCCCGACGCCTGACGGGAATTTTCAAGCCCCGTAGATCCCGGCAAAACGATTTTCGTGTCCCTCGTGGATCTTCGATCCATTGTGACGCGATGGAAGGCGCCGGCCGCCCTTATACGAGCCCGCTTTCATGGCTCTTTAGCATTTCCGGCGTAACGTCCTTTATGCGGACGCCTTCCCCCGAAAGGGCGCGCGGTAGAGAAAAAATTGACTTTTAAACCGGCAATAAAAACGAAAAATGTGAAATCTTTGATTTTAAAGGCCCCGCCAGCCCGCCCCGCCCGCGGCCCTTCGCGGGGGCGACAGTTGGCCGATGCGTATAACCCTCGGTGGCAACCTTATTTCTCTGATATCGCATACCGAGCACGTTCGGTACCACGCCGCCGCGCCGTCCCGAAATCCGCGTGCAGCGGTATGTATATCGTGTCGGATTACTCCGAAATCCCGGACTTTTATACGCTGAATTTTAAAATACACTCTTCGGTGCGATGCCGTCTCTCTGATTTTATTCGTCGACATCCGAGAATGAACAGACGTCAAACTTGTGCACGTGTCGATCTACTAAAGATTTTCCGACTGTCGCGTTAGGCGACATTGTTTAAGATCTGTGATCAGTAATGCGTTAGAAATGTTCTTGCGAAGAGAGAAAAGAAAATGAGAACGAGAGAATTGCCGAGATTTCCAATCTGGTGGTAATCTGAGTATACGATGTCTGCGAATCGACTGAAAATTTACATTTAAGAGTCTTGGGAGACGCCGGGAGGAAGTAGATGAGGGGTGGCGTTTCGCAGCTTGTTTTTATTTTCTAGCAATTTCCTCGGCGGAGCAGAACGGAAAGTGACCTTAAAAGGAATTAGCACGCTTTACCGCTCTGCCGATTTCGTGCAACTCGTAAACAGAATTTCTTCCCGTCCCTCCATCACACTTCTAAATGCTACGAATCGACGAAATAAATAAATACCTTCATTTATTCGCTGTTGGTCCAAATCACAATTTTAGACATGATTATAATTTCACAAAGATCGTACATTCTCGATTTTATACAATGCAACATATAATTGTAACGTAACAAAATTAATTTCTGATTGCAGATTTTGCGTGGGCGACAGATTTTATCTCTGTGATAACAAGATCCTCTGCGAGTACGATTACGAAGAGAGGCTGGTTTTCGCCAATATGGCTCTACATCCTCCGCCTAGCGCGACTCTGGCACACATCAAGAGACAAGTGACCCATCTTGCGCCGCAGGTAAACAATTTGCGTTTTCTTCTATTCATTGCGAAATTTGTGCGCGATGATAGGACGAGTTAGAGGTTTATGTTGTTACGCAGAGAGCAATGTTTATCGATCAACAGACATATTTTCGTTACGAAATAACTCTATGTAAGACGCAGTAGAGTGCATCGTGGAATCTCCTTTCTGGACCCTGGCCATCGTATTTCAAGCTCGCAAGGTTTCGAACTCCTCAAGGCGCAACCCCTTAAGGCGGGTTAAAGTGGCAGGTCGCCCGTCCTGACCCTCTCGACAACAAAGGGCTCCCCGGGGGCTTCAGCTATGCTTTATCATCCTACCATCGTCTTACGAGTTAGGATATCGCGTGTCCTTATTAATTAAGCTCTGCCCGTTAAGCAAGTCTCGTCGCATGCCTTAACGATTCGCTCCTACTCCGCCGAAGCCGGAACGTGCGAAAGAATTTACTCTTCACGAAGATCGTTAGACTTCCGAGAGCTATTTCGTGAAACTATGGCGAAATTATCGCACATTTTTTTATAATCGCGAATTTTTCGATTAACCGGTAAGAAAATAATTTCAGAACCTTTATAGCGCGAGGGAATAACGAATCTTATCGATTTTGAAATAAGTATAACAAGACTTAAAAGGAGAAAGACGTTGCAAATAAATTTTTCTTTCTAAAGAATCGTATTATAAAAAATACATAATATATGAATTTAATTAAAAAATTAAAATAAAAATAAATATAGAGCTGCAATAATAAGGGCCATATGCAACGAAGCAACGAAGAGAGAGGCGATTTTCACGAGCAGGAACGTCCAGAATTATGAACTCATCGGCGTTAAGCTTGTTGGGATTAAGTCTTCTTGATTATCCTAAGGCAACAGCGTTGCTTCGAAACAATATCTTAAGCTCCTGCCGCACGAAGGACCACGTCCTACTCGACCTTAGGAGCCTATCCATTTAATCCGGGTGCCGTCTTGCAAGGATTCCGCCGTCTTCCTTGTATAATAACTTGTCACGTATTCTAATTCGCGATATTTAGTTAAATATAATGATCGGAATAATATATAGATGCTAATATAGAGTTAAAAAATACTATTTTATTATCGTAATACTAGAATTCGCTATTATATTCCATTTACATTCAAAATAAAAAATAAAAGTCCCAAGCACACGAATCTTTTACGTGAAAATGTAAAATAAATTCTTCTCACGAAAATTGAGTTGTTAAACGTGTCATCGACAATCGCTGCTAATAATGTCGCTTGCCATCATCTCCATTATTAAAAGATCGTTAAAGACCCGTGGTAAAATGTTCGTCGCGGGAGTTTGAACCTTCGGAAACGTCTCGGAGGAGCGATCTAAGGCCGTAGATGCTCGTCGCACGCTCGAATCGTACGCATGCACAGAATAACGAGGTCCCCGGTTCGATGATATCAAGCTCGGTAACGTGTACTACTTATAATATGCAAATTCGCTACCCTTAACCGCCCTCGCGAGCGAGCTGCGTGTAATTCAGGGGTTGGTAACCCTTGCGACTCTATTCCTGGGCCGTGCGTGCGTGCGTGCATGCGTGTGAGTGTCGCGTCGTTTATAATGTTTAAAGAAATATCGGCTCGCGTGAATATAAGGGTGTATACCGTGTAAACATTTTTCAGGGACGCCCAGACACGCGTAAATCTACCTTAGCGAAGTCGGACAAGGCCTGTCTCACGTCTCGAAATTCATGAACTCTTCGACTCTCGAGTAAGGGACGTGTCGTTTTAATTAATATGAGATATTTTTATTGCTCGGCACGAGGGAATCGATGCTGTTGTTGTTTTTTTCTTTTTTTTTTTTTGCTCCTGTAAATTTCTGGTACCGTCAATCGGGAAAAATTGGCACGTCCGCGGTGTATTCCGCGATATTGCGCGATCCAGCAGCTTTCACACGCAATATCGATTCGCTCGGAGGGTTTACGGGTTATAAATGACCGGTGTGCGAAATAACGGGATGGCAGACTAATGCCAATAATCGGCGTGGCATGCTAATGTCGTCTGCGCATCTATTACGCTAAAGCCTGATGGATCCCTCTTGACATCTCGTTTCTGGAGCGTGAATATCTTCGATCGCGGAGAACACTCAAGATATCTACTCGCTAGCCCGAGGGTCGTTTTACATTTTGCATCTAAATAAGAGGAATTAACATGTGCGTTGCACACTTTTGTCTCAGGTGGAAATAATATCGCAAATGTATCGTGTGCAAAATGAATGACCGAACCAAAACGTCATACGGACAATACGTGGATTAAAATCGATAGAGATGTTCTTTTAGTGCAAAATATATCCCCAAAAGAAGAAAATCGGGCTCTCGTTAGATTTAGCATTCTGATAAAATGCAAGGACGAAATTGAGAGTACCTATATAAACCGTATAAGAGGAAGAGAAACAGAAGAAGACGGTACAGAGGGAAAAAGGGGAGAAAGGCGTTAAGATTCTTAAAAACCGCGAAGAGGGTGCTCGTCCTGGAGGCAGCTGCCACCCTTGTATTCTCCTTAAGCCGCGGCTCGTCGGGGGTGGTAAAGTACCGCCGACGGATAGTGGGAGGAGAGGAAGGGAAGGTAGGAAGGTAGTTTTTCTGATTGCCTGAGAACAGACAGCTGTCCCAATCTTTCTCAACCCCGGGAAGATCTACCGCGCTTTTGGCGAATAATGCTGGGGAGTGTTGCTTACGAATAACTCGAGTATACCTGATCCGGGAGGGTGAATCGAGAGCGGGGGACGCGGGGCGTGATGAGGGAGTGAAAGGAAGCGGCGAGACTGGACCGCCTTTAGCCGTCAGCATCGACAATCGAGTTGTCTCGTCGGAGATAGATGACGGATCGTTTCCGATATCATGGTCGACCTATTGAAACTTTATCGTAACATTGGGACGTGAGTTTTATGCACGGGAATTGCTTCAAAATCGATTATGCTTCTTCATTGTTACGCGACACCGCGGGAGTCTCCGTTTGATGGGCGTAATTAATAATTTTCACCGATAAAAAGTTTATTTTGATATAATTCCGGGATGAAGAAGTAGAGAAAACATCACAGCGTATCTTTAGAAGAAAGTCAATTAAAGAAAAACGCCGTTGCTCCGCAAATAGTAACGACGGCGAAAAGACTCATGAAGCTTTAGCTTCGTTTCTCAACGAGGAGCTTCGATCGAGCCGCGCAATCTCATCCTCCTTAGAGACAAGTATAACGCGCTTAAAAATTGGCGAGAACTTTTATTTCGGTCTAATTTTCCCCTCGGGACTTGGCGGAAAGCGGTAGGGAGAGGACTGAAAGGGGAAACGTAGCGGGGAATATAGACACGGAGTAAGAACGAGAAAGAGAAAGACACGATGAGAGTTTGGAACGATTATCTGAGTTTTAAAACAAACTCTCGAGTGTCTGCGAAGTCCTTCGCGAATCAGAGGGGGAAGAGGCCCGAGGTGCCAGAAGGGGATTCGAGGGGGGGACTGCGACGAGAGGGAAAAGGGGGTTACGGAGGTGAGATAATATGCTAATGCCAAGACGGAAGGTACATGAGAATTTAAGAGGATCAATGTGCGCAGTACGAGATTCGTACGGGGAATGAGGCATTACAATGTCCTCTATATTGCTTCCAAGCGATTAGATTCCTGAAAGTTCTCTGAACACAGCCAACTAATTTCGACAAAATTAAACTTTCGATTTAACGTCGCTTTTATTAGAGCTGAGTGTTCAATATCCATTTGTTCAGGGGTGACGTAAACGCGTGACGGACGTATCGACCTCGAAACGTAGATTGAAAAAGTTGATTAAGAAAATGCCTCGTCTTCTATTTCGGTTATTTTTTTTTTTTAATGTTACATGTATAGAATCAGATAAATATTTAAAAATTAATAAAATAACCGAATTAACATAACAAAATGGGAATAAACTGGATATTCCATTATTAAGGGATTTATAATTATAAGTACAAAAAAAATTGCGTGGATTTTTGAACAACTATACAATTTCCATTATCGGTATTGCGTTAATTATACAGAATTGATTTAAAATAGTTGCGTCAATGTGAATGAAACACTTAGTGATCGATATAACGTATGCATTAGAATACCCGAATAGAATGTGTCAGAATAGGATATGATACCATTAATAATAATTAATGTAGCGCACGGTTAATCCCTCGAAATGTAGCGTTTAGCGAAATGGACGCGCATCATCGTAATGCAGTACTATACAGAGCCACGAGCGTATTCCCACACTGAACAAAGCCATTAGTCCATCATTAATCCTTCATTGTAGATACTCTATTGTTGCACATGCGAATACGATCTGTTTAGAATTACATCGAGGGATGTCATAAAATTATACAAAGTAAAAAAACCTATCTATAATTGATTTTAAAATATATCAAAGAATCGAAGAATTTTAGCGCGAAGGAATTTATCACGGTAATCTCCTAAATGTCGTAGTCAAGATATTTTCTAGACGTAACAAGTTTCAGGGCGACCTAATCGATCGCCGATCGATCAGCCGATTAGATTGCCTCTTGGTCAACGTAACGTAAGCTGTGTCATGACATGAAGACAGAGAGAGCGAGAGAGAAAATAAAGAAGAGGGAGATAGACAGAAGCACCGCAGTACATACGAACCCTCGCACGCGCGTGTACACGTCGTTCTTGTTAACGAGCGCATTATTAGGTGCACCGTGCTTGGCTGAATTTCACGTAAAGCCTCTACGCGGCCCCTTATACAACGCGCGCGCCGAGAAAGCTCGCATGGGAAAGCCCGGCTTGCAAGCTTATGCGAGATTATGAGTTTAGTTGGGAAACAACTCCGAGAGCTATGTGCTACGTGGCCGAGCTCACTTTTATAACGATTATTACCGACGAGTGTGTCGGACTTCCGTCGCGAGGGCTCGACCACGCGGCCGAGTTTGCCTCGACATCGAAGTAACGAGATACGCAGTGAATTTTAATGGAACACTCGATATTACAGATGCTTGATAATAATATACGACAAGGTATGAGAGAAAGTTCAGTCCAATCAAATTTGCGTCACAAAAATGACAATTGGATCAAAGAGTCATGCATGTAACTGATATACCTGATTTTTCTCACAGCAACCTTATATTAATTTTTTGTGAGAAAGAACGTTACATCAATTTCTTTTCTCCTGCAAGATTCAGGTGTGAGAATGGGCGACCCGCCAGTAAATTCCGTTTCTAAACGATCCCGGAGCGATTAACGACGTCTTGCCTAATTCTCATCTCGTGTCGGACCCACCTTCGGGGCACCGAACGTGCTCGGTGGGTGGCGCTAATTTTTGCGCGTAAGAAAAGCCGCGCCGCGCGCGGTGGGACGGGCGGAACCGCGCATCTGGCCGTTTTCCCATCCGCAGGAGATCAACGGACAAATGACACGCGATTCCCTACAAGCCCTCGCGATGGCGATGCTCCGCATTTACCGTCAGTTACAAACTACCCGGCCCCGCTTTACCACCCTCGCGCCAGGTTCACGATTAATGTCTTATTCGCGCGTGCGAGGTCTCCTCAAGAGAAAGAGAGAGAGAAAGAGGATGAAAAAACCGGGAGATTACAGCGGGAGATGAGAATAAACGCGAAGAAAGCTGCTCGGTTATCTGGGGCATAATATTATGTCGCTAAAATTATCTTTCTATAATATATACGCTACGAAACTTCTGACGTTTGAAGAGATGCGTTTGACTTGGAAGAGGACCCTTGTACTCATAGAATCCTATCTATCTACATACCAGTTCCCGCAAAGCGCATGCCGTTTGATTACGACGTCGGCAGTAAATTCACAGCGCGGTAATTCCTCCTCTGGCAATTGTAGATAAAACTTGAATAAGTCATAGACTTAATTTAACCCGTAGCAGCGTTCAACGGTGGTCTGGAGCCTTCCACGGAGATTTCTTAATTACGAGCGGGACCCTCCAAGACAAGAGAACGAGGCTAGGGAGATAGGGAGAGAGAGGTATGTACTGAAAGACGAAAACATAAAGTAAGAGAGAGAAAAAGAGAGACGGAAGTCTCTTGCTGGTGGCTACAAGGGAAAGGGTTCTCACGGCGACGAGATTTAAGGATCTTTCCTAAGGAAAAAAAATCGCTCCCAGAGTCGCGGAGACAGATGATAAAGCATTTCTCTAGCGATGCTTTGTCATTTTTATCATAATTATTTACGAGTTAATTACTCCGCAGCCGCACCCTGTGCCGGCTACAGTTTCTTGCGTTTTAAAACGAGAAAAATACTTTATTAAGACACTTTGGAGATAACACCTTTCACAGGGTCCCGTGACAGATCTGCCCTTCTTCGTTCTTATTCTAGCTCGTTGCATACAGCAAAGAGACAAAAGCGAAATATTTAAAACAGGCGAAATTGCAAGTAGGACTCTATATGTTAAAAAATAAACAAACGAGGTTTATCGTTAACAAGTTCCGCTGTAACCTGTAATATTCTTGCAATCTCTTTAAAATAAAATATCATAATTAAGATCGACGACGTTTCATCGCGTTGCAACGAGACATTCCGCGGCGCGGGATAATTGCCGAAAATGGAGGCTTAATTCGGCGCCGCGCGAAAGTTAGTATGATCAACTTACGGGCCGAAATCGTGGCGGGAGGGAGGAAGGATTCCGTCACGAGGGGTTGAGCCGCACGGTCTGCCGAATTTTAAGCCTGTATAATTTAACACCTTTACTGCAGAAACTAAGAGAAACTGAAGGGAAAGACGGTGAGAGAGAGAGGGGGGAGTGCACGCGTGTTCGCGAGGAACGACGAGAACGACAACGAAGATCGAAAGACGAAGAGGAAGCAGGATCGACAGGATAAGATAAAGGAGGGATGATGAGAGGGGGACGGGACGGGGAGGAAATGCAAAGTTCGAAGTTTTCAACGGCACTTACCTAGCCTAGTACACTCTCCGCCTCTCCCACGCCGGGTGCTCTGTACCACCAGCGCACAAATATAGCTACCGGATAGAGATGGAGATGGATAAAGAATCGGTTGCGAGGGGTAGGAAGAGGGAACCGCCCAAGTTGCGTCGTGCCGCCCCTCCTTTTTGCCCGGGCACTGAGATACAAATTCATTCCTCCGGCCTTTTGTTTTTGAAGTGGAGACTTAGACGGCACGTTATAGGGGGAGGGGGATGAGGGAAAAGAGAGAGAAACGCAAATTCGTTAGCGTTGTCAACCCCTTAAGGGCGGGAATCCGCGCTGGATTTTACGTGCCGCGTCGTGAATAATTGCTAAAATCGAATAACGAGGCTGCGAGGAGTCGATTGATCGACCGAATTTATTCTTGGATTTTGTAAGTTGCCCTCTAATCGGATTAAATTCTTCAGAATTACAAATTCGTCCTATGCATTCTGATGTGCATTTAAGAGCTTGATAAATGAGTTTCAAGAATAAATTGAACTCAATTCTTAATCGATGAGCTTTTTGCTCGGTTAAATGCAACTCAGAGAGATATTAGTAGAATTCATAAAGTTTATCCAATTTGGATTAAATGTGTGTGTTACCCGATCGTTATGTATAAAATATTAAAATCGATTTCAGTAAACGATACGATGCATGTTTTATTTATAATCACGTGTCAGGATCAGTGACGTGATTAAATTAACGAGTTATATTCCTAATAATTAATTCCGAAAAGAGTGAATATATAAAACTTATCATATGCCAATATTAATTTTTGTTTAATCTTTCAGTTTCCGCACCAAATAAAGTTTCTGCCCCAAATAAATTCATAACATCTTTTAAAGGATAAAAAAACTTTCTTAGCCTTTCTAGGTATTTTAAATATTGTAATCACACATATATTTTTCTCGATAAAGATCGTCCGTCGAGCTAAATTTCAAGGAAAAGTCGACTTTTTTCAGACAGTGGTTGCGACTAATTGCAACAATATTGTTCAGCGATAACCATGGTTAATTAAATCTTCTTTCTCAATCTATGTTACAGCTAGAGTTATAATCTAGACAAGGACACGAAGTCTCACTAACCAGAATTTGTTAACTAAGGCGGTCAGTGCACCTTCAGTGGTACGGTATCACTCGCATTGATATAAATCACATAGATTACAACTAGTTGCCGAGAAAATTTGAACGAAACTTTAACGAAAGAAAGTATATAAAATGCAAATGTATAGAAAACGTTTCGTATACATATAGATAGAGAAATACGAATATGTCGCTTCGATCGCGTCTCCGGTGTTCGCGGCGGTATTGTTCCACGGTACTCTTTTATGAGGGACGTGTGCCTCCGGTCACATAAATTTTCCGCTAAGTCGAGATCGTCGCGATCGAGCCAAATTGAAAGAGAACACCGACCACCGAATACCGTACAGCCGACGGTCCGTAATCCTCACGCGTCTTCTTTTATCTTGCAGAACGTAGCGGGTGGGCCTCAGCGACAGGCGAACGGGGAAGCGGCGGCCCACAACCACAACGGATATCCAGCGCCAGCCAGCTCGAGCGCCCATAACGTCCTGAACCCCATGAATAATTTAAACGGTATCAATGCGCAAGCATCGTACGATGCCAAATGACAAACGAAGTAAGCGCCGATATATCGATTGAGTCGCACGAGGGGGTCGACTCGTGTGTGCCGTTCGCATTGTCTTCGTGGTTTTACCCGCGCTGATCGTCCGAACTGTCGTCCTAACTTTAGCACGCGACCCACGGCAAATTGCAAGATTGCGCATATTCGGATATCCTTTAACTGTCGAGAAAAAAAAGTTATCGCGAACAGAAAAGTGTTACCGCGTATAGATATGTATTATATAATCGCATTAAACAATCCGCTTCTTGTCGCGATCGGGCGAACTTGAAGTTTATGTAAATAGAAGACAACCATAAAAATATGATAGTGTTGCAGATAACGCGAGTTAAGTGGCATAGGAGAATTTTAATGCATATCTGACAAAATAGAAAACGATTAATAAAAATGTATATCGCGTTTCCCCGTCTTTGAAATTAACATTTTTGAATAAATGACCAGATTGCCAACGCTGCTATTTCTCCTACGCTATCTTATAGGCGTCGTTTGGCGAATGCGTATTTCCCGGACGAATTATTATTCCGTCTTCTCGAATAGAATCTCTCCAATATAAGATAGGACGTGAGGGAAGAATATATAAATCCAAAATGCGTCTTTCGTTCTTACATTTAATTAGATTCATATATCCGAACGAATTCGTCTTCCCCACGCTCGACTGGTTAGACGATAAATAAGTAGATAGTTAAATAGATAAGTATATAGATAGATAACTAACGGAACGTATATTGGCCAACTATGGCGAACTATTGGTGCTCTTTAGATTATAACTGATCGGAGTTTGCATGATTCAATTCAGACTGCTAAAGCGTATCGCTAAAGATAAGATCGAGAAAGAAATCAGAAGTAAGACCTGCGTGGAAATTTACGGGCTAGAGAAGAATTCCCGTCGCGATTCTTCCCGGATTTATCCGCTTTCATGAAACCCTACGGTAAGCGTATCGACTTTCGGTCGGTGTAAGATATCTTTAACAGCCGGCGTGTCATGAATCGAAGTCCGAAACTTCGCGGTGGTAAATAAAGTTTGGCGCATTTAACGTTCGCCTCTCCGAGGACGGTGAGTTGTCGGTGAGGAGATACACAGGATGACCCCTCGGAGGGCCCTGCTCCTGCCGGACGGGCATCGAGAACGAGATCGAATCGACGGACTTCGAGAAAGCGACTGCAGCAGCAGCAGCAGCAGCAGCAGCAACCGCTCGCTAGCTCGCCACCCCATGGGGCTCATACGTTAAGGGTGACTTAAGCATTGTTTCAACTTCGAATCTCCCGGCAGAGGCCCAGATTGATGTCGCGAACTTTTCCACTGCCTTATTTGCGAGTCAGATAACGAGACTGAGTTATGCCCAAAGTTCTCTCTTGATCTCTCTCTCTTTCTCCGGCCCGTGCTGATCGTATCGGATCACGAGGAATACCCAGTCGAAAAGGATGTTTTATTTCCTTCCTCTTCGGGGATTCATCGTTGATGCCAAAAGTACCTACGTCGAACGGTAATAGGTTGGCAGCTGCGCCGAGAAACTGCTAAGGACTAATCCTTAAGAAACGCGATCTTCGTGGTTTTCATTCCGGTGAAAATCACGCAAATCTCACAAATAAGAAAAAAAATCTTTGTTGCTTGCGATTGGCAATAATTATTGTTTATTATTAACGACAAGAAAAGGTTTAATAAATATATATTGAACTGTAACTTTGCGAAACTAATTGAAGTTGACTATGAGTTCATTGTTAATAAATTGCGTTAACAAATATTTTCTTATGCTACATTATTTTTTTATGTTACATGATAATATACAATTTTATATGAATGACAGTATAAATAACTTGATTTCTCAATATTTTCTACATCTTCTGTAATACCTTCTGCACAGTTTTGTAATTTTCTTTTGAAATACGTTAAGAAATATGTATATGTATATAAATATTAAAAATAGCCGCATCTTTGAATTACTATAAATAATATCACATGTACCATAATTAATAACGAGTGCCAATTTATCAGGGCACTTTAACCTTTCTTCGCAAATAAAAGCATCATACAAGTACGCATTTATTTCAATCTGCAAAAATTGATTTGGTAATCGTCTCAAATTGTCAAGACGACAAGAGAGAACTATTGCCGACTTGTTACTTGCCGAGTTTATATTTTGATACGACGACACTATCGACGATAGCCTCTACACGAGTTGCATTCTCTACCCAGCGCATTAAAGTCGCCCGAACTGAACCAGATTCCTTTCGACATTTAAACATGTCTTGACGACTGTAACAAATAATCTTCTCGCAAAATATATGGCGATTTCAGAATAAAACCAGCATAGTTCCTAAAACGCGAAAGATCTTCGACGCGCAGTGACTACGATCGCTAAAAACACATTTGTATCATACTATGCGACTATCGAATGAACGTTTAACAAAGCACAGCCAGTGCGAGCATCGGAGCCCTTTTGTACATTATACCCTATACAGTATCGCTTTCTACATCCCCGTAAATCTTGCATTAGCAGCGCTATTATGGATTCAGTTATACTGATCGCGCTTGGATCACAATGTACGAAAGAACCGAGGTCATTAATTAAGGAAGTGTGTGTACGTTCGCTAGTATGTAGATACGTTTTGTATTTATAGGTCTATCATAGAGGTATTAATAAATTTGTTTCGATGTTATGCAAAAAACACAGTGTGTGGTTTTAAATCGCGGCGCGAGGGACAACCGGAACCGGCTCACCCCGTTCCCCGTTTTCTTAAAGGTTTATGTTCTTGTATCCGTCGCAAACGCGCGATATTGATTCGCGACGTTGCGACGCGGAAATCAACACGCGGAATGACTTTCGCCGGCCCCTTCGCTCCTTCTGCATCCGCCGTTCGTATCTCCCTTGAATTATTTAAGGGCGCTACGTGATTGGCCGACAAATCCGGTCCGCCTCAATAATTTACCAATCATACGCGGTCCTTTGTGTTTTATACGCCGCGTTTCGAATAAATCGCATTGTGTATTCAGGAGAGCGGCGTCCAACTCTATTCGGGTGCGAACGCGAACCCTCTCCGCGTATCCGGCGTCGAAAAAAGGCGAAGCGAAGAAACGGAAGAGGAAGCGACCGGAGAGATCGCGTAGGGAGCGATCGCGCATGCACGATTCGCACGAATTGACTCGAAATTCGGCTGAACATCGCGAATTTATGACGAAGCCGCGAAGGAGAGCAATATTCCTCATCCTCCATAACGCTCGGGTTCACAAGTATTGCTAACGTGAAGTTAACTTTAATACTTGATGTAGCCTACAACGATGCGCTGAATATATTTTCGAACGGAAGCTCGCGGGATCGAAAATTGGAAAGAAGAGGGCCGTCCTAATACATCCGTATGAATTAATACATGCTTTTTTATACCAACAACGTATCTCGGGCGGATTCCGCTTGAATAAATGCGTAATGGAGGATGATCGAAATCCACCCACCGGCGAACCGCACTCGCGACTCCTCGGGAATCCATAAAGTACCTACACCATCCACGAAGCAATTTGTTCTCCGAGAATTAATGCGCTCGCGATGCTTTTTAATATCGACGTATCTCGACGGGGAGGAATTTGGCGGAACGACCGTTACCGGATAACGGAAGGTGATTTAACGTCACGAGGCGAAACTGCTTATCTATAATCCGACGAGAGCGGATGGGCGGACGGTAAGTAAACGAAGCGGGAAACGAGAGAGACGGTCGAGCATTCGATGCAAATTGGCAATTTTTCCTCGTACGGCGCTCGCGGTAATCATTGGCAATTAGAGCACGGGGCATTCCCTCGACTCCCTCCTCCCCCCTCCCCCGCCCTATCGGTAAATGTTATTTATGACCACGATTATCCGGGGCGCACCTAGCCGTCCGAAGGTACGCCTAACTACAACCTCCCGACCATCTAATTGGCTGTCTATTACGTCTGTTTGTACAAAATGCGGCACTTTGTTGCGAGCGCAAACGAGGAGCTTTCCTGGATCATTTCGTTCCTTTAATCGCCTGCACAGTCGCCATACGGAGTGGGCACATATTTGCAGTAAGAAAATTATGAGCGCGAAAGAGCTTTAGACGATCTACGATTCTCGGGACGAAATATAAAATATTTATATAATTCACGTGCCGCGTATACGCACAGAATATGAAAATTACAAATAGAATTTACGGATTATAAATCGTCCAAATTGAGAGAGATTTTATTATTATATTCATTAGTATATTATTTTTGCAAGTGTATTTATCCGGAACAACACGAACATTAATGTTTAAAATGCCATATTGAATGCAACATATAGAAATTATATCGTTTTAAACCTTGCAGACATCGCGCGAGAGGAGCGAATAACCGACAGCCGTGATTATCAGTATCTATTTATATACCCGTCGGAAGTGCGCATCGAATCGCTTTCTCTCCTCTCGTTACGTGGAATCGTTATTTCCGTTCGGGCTATCTCCCCATGTTTAATCGCGAGCAAATTACCCCGTGGAATCGCAAAACTCCCCGCAGTACGAGCAACTTGCGAGAAACGAGCGTCATTATCTGCTCGCTAACAATTTTTCCCAGCGCCCTTTCGTCGTCGCGAAAAAAAAAGGAAAGGAACATCGCAGCGGGTTTGCGTAAATCACGGTATCGCGCGGGGAATTCGGTGCGGGAAAGAGGGACGAGAGAGTCGCGCGGCACTTTTCCGCGAGAGAGCCCGCGCGGTCTCTGAAACAATATTATTACTAAAAGCCGCCGGGGCCCCGGCTGCTTCTCGCGAGATTCGCTCGCCGCGCGCGAAGAGAAATGGCGGACCCACGGACCGTACGGAGGAGCGATTAATTAAAAGAGCAAAAACTGTTTTCATAAAATTCATTTGCGGAAATATGCGCCGACTGAAATAATATCCGGCCGCCGATGGGAAAGCGCGTGTCCCGTTCTGGCATAACCGCGCGCTGTCGCGTCGCATCCGAGTGTAAAAAGAGCGAGGCGAATAAAAATGAAGGCCGTATGCAGAAGTTTTCGCATTTTTTTGCGCCCACCGCAGCCGGAGTATACGGTGCATGCCGTGTGCGCAAATAGGGATCTCGTTTGGTTTAAGTCGGGCGCGCTGAAATTATATAAAGTTTGCTTCGAGATTGGTCGCACACAATGAGAATGAGGAATAGCATTATTGACCTCATCGGTTTCATGGCAATTATATTTTTCTCAAACAACCGTTAAAAGACATGTCGAAATATAAGAAGAAAAATCGTTTTTATAAATAAATTCTATTAGGTTGGCCAATAAGTTCGTGAGGTTTTTTACTTTTAAATTTTACTTATAAAAAACCGCACGGACTTATTGGCCAACCTAATATATTATTATTTTAGAAACTGGTATAGAATTGATATATATATATGATATTTATGGATCTCACACATACATCTTCCTTTTAATTTTCAAGTAATATAAACTCATATTATTAATAAATATGGATAGGTGAACTATGAAAAATTGGGATAAATATTTTTTTAATAGATCACGATGCGGCGTCATTCCACTTCGATTCACGATATTTCGTTGATGAAGAATTTGAGAATAGCATCGGCAACTTTTATACCAGGAGACGCGATCAATAAAACCGAGTTAATGGATAATTAAAACGCGATGAACCACCCGGAAATGTACAATCAAGATTCAGCATTGCATTCACAATGAATTTGGAATACATAAATCTTGCGAAATATATACGTACTATTAATAAACGCCCGATATATTACAGCTTCCTGTTACACGACGAGAATCACTCGATTATTACGCGCTTTAACTTCGGTAAGCAAGTCAACGAAAAATCTAAAGCACATACATCCGAGAATCCCCAAGTGTAATAGTTAAAGAATTATTTATCGCGAATAAGAATTATATGCCTATCGAATTATATATTTGCCATCGCAAGGAAATGCGTACGTAGCACATCATTATCGCTTTGATGTATGAATCAGGTAAGTAAATTGCTCCGGCAATTCGAGATATCAATCTAAAAATACCGCGTAGTAACTGACAAAAACTAGACAAAAACAACAGCTTACCGAGCCAGAACGGCTGAAGGCTCCCACAGACCGAACGCGTCAAGCGTCAAGCAGCGAGCAGCAACCCAATTGAACCCAATCAGTGAGGTGATATCAGCAGTGGCGTAGAAAATATCGTCTCGCTGATTGGTTACTGCTCGCTGCTTGACGCTTGACGCGTTCGGTCTGTGGGAGCCTTGACGTGACGTAGCGCTGTTTGTTGACGCGGGACTCGAGCGCGTGACGAGTGACGACGCATTCGACATTACCCTTCGAGACGCGACCGCGGCAGGTACAACGTACAAGCGAGCGCGATTATTCCTTACGAATATTCGGCGACTGCCGAGTCCAATGAATAATCAGCTCTCTCGATTAACATACCTCGTACGCATATCATGACTACTCATCAAAATAAATATTTCGTATGATTTACTTACTCGACTTGAGAATTGAAGCGCATAACTGTGTTCGACGATGCACGGATACGAATACGTCTCTCATCGCTCTTTAAAGTTTTCGCCGATTTAGCCCTCTTTTTAAGTTTGCAAAGTAGTACAGGAATCATCGGAATGGAAATTTGTAATGTATCGAAGATGTATAATATTAATAGTACATAATGGTGTATATATTATAGGTTTATAAGTGCAGGTTATTGTAATATAATAATACATGAATCTCTCGACTGTATGTTTCCGGACGGATTATCGCGTTTTAATTAACTCGATTTTATTCATCGCGCCGTATATCGTATGGTAGCAAAGTAAGAATGCTATTTTCAAATTCTTCGATCGTTAATGGAATGTCGGGGATACAAAACGGATCGAGTTCGAGCCGAATGGCGTCGCGAAACGTTTAATTAGTCAATACAGTCGTAATTAGCTCGACATATATTTTAATATTGACAATCGTACACGATTCGCCGTTCGTACGTCAATAATTTTGTGAATACGCGCACTTTGCAAGTGAACGTTATGTGTGAGTGCCACAAAGGAGCAGCAACGAAGGGATTAGAGAGGAGGAGGCATCGGGCGACGGCGGAGCATCCAAGGGGTGAGTAATTTAACATATATATATATGTATTATTTGTCGTTTGCGGAATTAATTATTCCCGTTTATTTGAACCGTTTTATTGAATAATTTATATAAAAGCTCGGAGAAAAGTTTTCATTTATGAAATCTCGTACAAGTTTATTTTTGAGAAAGAGAGTAAGATGTTTCTTGGAAATCATATAATTACTTTACTATGTTTACGTGCAAATAAAGATAATAATTATTTTCGAAATATTAACTATTGTGAACGCTAACTAATTTGGACTTTGCACTTGTATTTTACAGATCAACGTAGCTATACGACGTAGTCGTTAAACTCCGCTGTTGCGCATCGTTCGGTAAGTCGCAAAATAGCCTTTTGATTTAAACTGAGGAAATTAATCTATGAAATATTACAGATGTGTAACATATCACAGATCCATTGCCTTAAAATGGATGAGCTAGGATAAATTAGAAAAAAATTTTTAATCCTGGAGCATATATATACACATGCGTGTATTCCTGTATGCTGCATTTTGTCAAGCACTCTGCAAATGAACAAGTTTTTCAAGAAATAAAATTAAAACACCATAAACATTTGATATATATCA